TGAACCTTTATATGCGCCATATTTTGACTAATAAGAATAAGGATTTAGCATTCATACAAGAATTATTGATATTAGTTTCAATAAATAAATAGATCTAGTTGAGTTAAAATGACTTTTAACAAACAGGAACTTTTCCCAAACTTGTGGTAAGCTTATTAACCGCACTATCTTCTTATTGCAGCAGTTTTACAAGTACTTTATATCGTACTTGCGTTCTTTAATCGCAAACTCTATAACTTTCAAGTCTTCGCTTGTTTTAATTAAGTATGATGAATATTCTAACAAATTAAGATGCCGCGGGACGGCAATATTATTTTTGTTGGTGACCGAATTCGGAGATAAATTTTCATTTATTCTAAGACCTCATTATTCTTGACGCAATATTTTAACGTCTTCTTTATACGGTATTAATATTAACTTATTTCTAGAATAATTCAATGGTTTTATGTAGGCTTTTCTGAATCTCGAACAGCCTAAACCCATCGTCAGCCCTGACCTCGTGTTATTGCGCGTAATCCATCACGCGTTTGACCTGTGGCCAGTCATAATTTGATGTATAGCTTCATTCAAAGACGTGGTAAACGTAGGGGTGATTGAATACATGTAGCCGCTGAGGAAAATTCCGAATTTCATTCTTGATTCATCTCTCCACCAGCGTTTTTCCCACTTGGTTTGGGTCATCTTAAACTACATAGCTACATAATATATGTCTATTTAGTCAATTTTATTAGATGCTTCAATAAATAATGTTCCTGCGTTACTCAGGACCGATAAATTTAAGATCCATATAATATCAGAAGCTAACACAATTGTTGATGCTCGAGACAACTGCAAACGTACATTAAGTTCAAGCTAGATATTTTAAGCTCTTTTGACATATAACAAAGGAGATATAACAAAAACAATACTCAAACAATTGACTAAAAACAAAAGCATTAACAAATTTGCATTGTCCTTTTGTTTTCAAAGAAAGTAGATATATAACAAATGTTAGGGCAAAAGCGTGAAAATAAATTTAAAGGACAAAAGCGACTCAAATATAAGACCATGTTGATATCAAAAATATTAAGGCAGCGTGTTCTTCATTTTAACGGGTAATTTAGTACGTGCCGACAAGGCAGGTAGGAAGCTCAAAACTCTATCGACACTTCTCTTCAAGGCACCAATAAATCTTATGCTTTAATTTTATTAAAGATACCATAACGTTTATTTGAAGAATTACTAGTAGAAGCGTAGCAATATTTGAATTCCATTATTGAATTCTTTGAGAATTCTTGTAGAGTTATTTTCTAATCTTTACTCATAGTATTACAATCTATTTTAATAAAAACCAATTTTCTCGTCTTGTTTACTCACTTTCTATTTTTACAGTATCCTAATATTTTCACAGTAAAAATCTGTAAGTTACGTATTTTCTTTCTTAAGCAAGTTCAGATTCCGTGGGTTTTCAGAAAGGTTCTTTTTCAAGTGTTCATTCATTCATATAACAGGCAATTTGAACAATGAAAATGATTCCCATCTAAATATGAATAGTAAGTTATTCAAGGAATATGAGCAACGCGTAAATTATTCATTCAAATTGAAATGACAATAACCAAACTTTTTTCACGACAATAACGACTTTTTTTCAGTAAAATATACATAAGAGAAAAAAGCGTTTCGTCCTTGCAAAGTATTATCTTCTTTATTCCATGAAATTTTTAATTGAAATCTTTCTAATATACCATCACAAGAAACCCTTGATAATACATTTTTGACTACTCGAGTTGTTAAGAAATAATTTTTCATTACTTTTGCTATTTCACAAACAAGTATTGTATAAAAAAAAATTAAAAGGAGCGGAAATATGTAGTCGTTTAAATTGAAATCGCTTCACTCTAGTTTTAATTTAGAATATCGATCGTTTCAAAATTGAATAAGCTGCTGCCTAGAAATCGGACTAAATAAATACGAACTTGGAAATTTATTGGAAACGAGAGTATCGAGATTGGAAATTGATGTTTAATTAAAGTTTCTTAGAAGCAAAATATTTTTTGTCTAGAAAGATATTTCACAGCTTATGTATATAATTTCATAAATCACTTATACAAGATTTTTCGAGAATATTCCACGGTGAACAAGTCGAAAACGTGTTACTGATGATGATTACTTCCTACACATATACATTACGATGTAATTGAATTTCGCATGAACGGGTTTCAGGCAAAAATAGAATAAACGAGACCAAACATTTTTAGACCACACTGAATGGCTTCGGAGTGATTTTGTGGTAAATCAATTTGCTTTCGGAGCCCAGAGTACCGTACTCGTACAGCTGTACCTAGACATCAATCAACTTGATCAAATAGTATTTTTACGTACAAATAACAGATGGAAGCTTGAAGGTTACTCGACATTTTTACTACATTCCATTTGGTCTAGTCTACATCAGGGAGAAGGAATCGAATATTCTAATACATATTGCTTACAAGCCTTTGATATGTAATATCTACCTGTCTTTTCAAGACTTGGGAACATATTACGTTGCAAAATACTAATCTTAATTAAAATCTTATAATATAAAAGTCAAGCTATCCGCAGCAACGGTAAGATTAAACTGCACTTGGATAACGCTTTGGATTAAATAATGCTTTCCGGAATCAACCAAATAAAGAAGATAAAGAGGTTAACTGATATAATTGTAGAATATAAATTCGAAGACCTTTTAATAATTGTTTTTATATAAGTATCTAAATTATGCTGGCCAAGAATATTTGGTTAATATCCGGCATTTGTATTCGGCAATTCTTATTATATTCGGCCAAATACCAAATATCAAAATTTTATTCAGCCGAACACCGAACACTTAAATATGTGTTTTCACAAATTACTTATATGGCATATCCTAACTTTTTTTGATCAAATTCAAAAGCTATCAGGTAGGTATACGTCGCTTCGTTTTATGGTAATATTAATTTACGTTTACATTATTATTAAAACAATAATATAATAAACAATACCCAATAGAACATCAACGAGCTGTCAAAAAGGATTTATTTGAATCCGAACCCTTGATCTGTTTATCCAGAAGCAAGATGTTCATAAAACCGACACATCAAATAAATCTCAACAAACCAACAGCGCATTATTGACAAATGATCACTCAACTTTAGTGAACTATAAAATTGTATTCGACTTTAATAAAAGCCGTTTAGATTTACGATCCTTCAAATTACTCCTGACTGAACGGATTTGCGGAAAATCCATGCCAAATTCACAATATTAATATCTACTTTTGATATGAATTGAGAGCGATCGACGATAGAAATTAATAGACAAACAAATAATTGAAAATAAGCCTCAAAGCTAACAAGAAATATTTTTCCACTTAACGAATCTTAAATTTTAAGCGTCAGATTAAAGGTTGTATTCATTCCATTTATTATACGGTCAAAAATTACATTTAAATAGAATTACCGCAAAAACGCTTAGAAGGAAATTCTTACAAAAAAGTGACGCAACAAACAATTTAATAACCAACAAATCCCATTTTCATATTTTCGATATAATCAACTTAGATGGGCTTCGATACAAAATTGGAAGGAGGAAGGAAATGCCGATGGGAATAAAAGTACTGTAGAGTAAAGCTCCTCCAGCGATTCTCAGCCATTTAATGAACCTGTCAAAAAGGTCACATTGAGACGTGCATAATACGGCATAAGCTTTTCCCAGACATTTATTTCAGGCAACAAACAAATAACGTTATTATCAACGACATTCTTTCAATATCTTACGAGTCACTTGTTATAAATTGTTCATTTCATCAGAGTAAATCAACTGGAAAACTGTAATACGCTTCACAACAAATAATACTTTCGTTTCGTTTACATTCAATAAAATTGAACCGTAAAACAGTTTGCTGATTCAATTTAATACGACGATCTTTTGAATACATATTAGCTACCCCTGCAGCGATCGTGGAACATGCGCCAGTCGAGAACTTTTCAAAGTATTTTATGGGGCAATGAAAATTTAATCTGGAAGTGGGAGAGCGGGCATAATGAGCGACAGTGGATCGCAATTAAGGGTAGAAATGAGCTCAGAGGTCGACCGTTAGGCCCGTACACAATTTAACAAAAATACCACTATAAGGGTGGCGGTTTCAATAGGAGACGATAAAAACATCATTAGGGTTTTATTTATACGTCCTTTTTCACGACAAAATGTATAGGAAGTATATCTAAAATATTAGTAGTCCCATGTTCTAGAGATTCCTTATTTAATCAACTTTTACTACATACCTACATAAATAATGATTAAGCCTAACATACCCCAGCCGTAAACATGCTTTAAATCTCTGCCTTCTTGGAAATAATGTTAAGAATGGTGAAACTTTAAATTATTTAGGGACCGCAGAAACAAACATAAATATGCGGTAAAAGAAAACGAGGTCCGAAACAATTCCTAAACTCAATGAAAATGCTTTCAGACGAAAGTTGAAGCAAGAACACGTATAGTAGGTAGGTGTACACAAAGTATGGATAAAATCTAAATATCTTTCGGGCGAATGGAAATCTTTTGTAAAGGGAGAAGGTCAAGAAATTCGACGAGACGAAAGTTTCTAGAATATTCCATCTTTTTGGAGAGTGCCGTCGATGGGCTATAAATATAGAGCTTAGCAGGTAAGTACGTTTAGCCCAACCCTTGAGGATGAAAGATGACACTATAAGATGATACGCCGAGACAGTAACGATATCAAGATACTTCAGATTTATATTTATGACCGTGTAGTAAACGGTTCATCAGTTTGAGATTGTAAGGCCAAAGAATATGCTACGAAGTCTTACTTAGTACTTTAAGAAAATGTTGAGAAGCATTTAAGTCTTATACGAAATAAATATTAACAGGGGACGGCTAATTATATGAATTTTCAAAATGTAGGAAGTACAGATTATATTATCAGTAAAACTAGAATCCGCGAGTCTTTTACGGTGGTTTTGGTCTTAAAGTATTCTACATACCTGAAATGAAGTAACAGCTAGCTGCGAGAGCCCGTCGACGTAAGGTCCTAGCACTGCATGCTCGCGCACGCGCAGTGATCGCCTCGTCGTCTCCGGATCTAGCAGGTCGTGCACTCGTTCGTTGTATATTTCCATGTATGACACTTCGACCTATTAAAAGAATACGGATTAAAAATCATTCATTAACTTAAAAGAATTCTGTGTTCTTCAATCTTTAGAACGCTTAGAGCCCAAAGATAGAATCACAGAGTACTGATAATATTGGTTTACAAGCTACAGTCGATAAGACTAATACATATATGTAGGTAAGTATTACTCAAATTATTATACCTATACAATGTAGTGTTGGCCGGGAGGTTAAGGTGGCCGCTTCTTATGCATGACATTTTTCGAGTCAGATGTACTTTCTACGATTATTTAGACACTAATGACATACGGGGAAGGAAAACATTGTGAGGAAACCTAGACGTATAATTTCTAATTATAAGTTTTTAATCGCCAATCCACCAAAACTATGCCAGTTTTCAGATTAATAAACACTTTCCGTGTACAAGTTCCTCTAACAAAAACTTGAGTTCGACTCTGATGTTGCAATTTGATAGTACGCTATCAGTCTAGCATCAGGACAAATTACTGTTCCATCACCTGCCGCCGTCGTACTAACAAGTTTGTGTAAGTTAATTAGTGCAAGTATGTCGATTAACATTGCTTTAATAATGTTATTTAATTAACAAAACATGTCATCCTTGTTTTCCACAGAAAGGGTAACCATAGTGAAAGTAAATTCAACCATCTATTTTAATTCCAATGAAACTTAATACATTTGAAATGTGAAAATATATATGTATATATACTCTGTCCAAGCATTATTTTTAAAAATAAATGGTTTTTCTTTCTTTCTTCTTTCTTTCAAAATGAAATACTTAAAAAACTTTCAGATATTATTCTTATCTCATAGGCATAAGGTTCTTTTTCTTAAATTATTTCCAATTAAACCATGATCATAGATACCTTGTAGGTGAGTGCTGGTGGTGACTGTTGTACTTTGATCCTCTCGAACAAAGAGTCGCATAACCGTGGGATGATGCCACCTTCATCAGCCCCCGGCGAGCCCATCATCGTGTAGGACTTCCCTGAACCTGTACAACACAAAAGAAAAATTGTTAAAAACTTAGAATATCCTTAGGTATTTTCCAACCGTTGCGCGTTGATACATCAGGTACAAATCTAAATATATTATTTCATAAGATAAATACTATTCCCAATCGTCTTACAGCCTACATTTCACTTCGTATTTATTGAAAAATGAATGCTATATCGTCAGAAGGGTAAAATGTATGTATAAGGCAACAAGGCGTTACGCAGTAGCATAAATTCACATTTAAATAAAATACATTCAAATGTATGTCTCCGGAGCTGGTATAAGAACTCACTAATGGAATGAGAATACAGATATACCTGTGCCTTTATTTTGCCAAGTTGTGATTGAGATGCGTTTGAAAAAATCCATTCGATTGCATATAATAAGTACCATTATCACTTCTAATGAATTCTTCAAATTTATTTGAGAAAGCCTGTTTCTAAAATATAAACAAAATTGAAACGCATCCGGCTCTTTCAATCACCTAAAACGTTTGACTTCACTAGTCGTGAAAGCACTTCATTTGTAAACAAACCTGTGCGTTACACTAAACTTTATGTCCCACATCAATCAACGTGAACCGTAAATCAAAGGCGATGAGGTCGAAATTGCAACGTTAATTTAAAAGATCTGAGAACTCGTTGTATAGACAAATATACTTTTATGTGTTTTAAACATCATATCAAAGTGTAGCTTTAATTAGTCGTAAATAAAAAGTTTATGTTGTATGAAAAATTTTATTTAATTCTAAGATATAATTCTAAGTAGTATCGTAAAGTTTAAAATTTCTTCCAATAAGTTTAAATAATAGACCGAAACGGCCTTATTACAAAACAAGGTTTTACTTTAGTCTAGGACTAAACCATTGAGCCAGTTTTTGTATTTCGAATTGAAGGTAGATGACAATAAGATTCAAAATTCAAAACCCGACTCAATGGTTTAAACCTGGACTAAAGATAAATCTTGTTTTGTAATAAGGGGGGCAAGTGTTTAAAAATAAGACTTCACAAAGTCTAGTCTAGTCATCCAGTCAACCTTTTTAAAGAAATTATAGAACAATACAATCTGGAACAATAAAAAGTAATGAAACAAAACAAACTAATAAATTGTTTACTCGGACTGATCGTTTGGGATTCGAGTCTAAATGTTTATTATAGGGACCGTGAACAATTTTGGGACTCGCAACTTGTTGTTTGATAACAGAATGAGAATAATATGAATTTATTTATACCTAATTTACAACTGCTTTATGTGTACAGATTATGGCAACAAACTTGGTACAAACTTCACTGTTTTGGGGCCAACAGTAATATAATGTAATCAAATAGAAATTAAACTATGGATGAATTACTTAAAGTTGGCGGTCTGGCAGCTAATTGTTCTCTGGTGGCCCCGCACCTTATAACATACACAATATGTTAAACTTTGAGAAGTAGTTTATCGCAACACTGTATCGAAGTTTTGTTAGTTACATTGAACATTTAAAGTAAAATCTTAATAAGAAGAGAAATGCATCAAGGACCTTGTATATTTTACCAACAAAATGTAATCATCTTTTTTTTATTTTTAAAAACCGTTGCCCCACATTATGATTTTCTCCGGTGTCGTGGGTGCGGTTACAAACATACACTTTCACAGACACATGACACCCAGACCCGGAACAACAATTTGTGGATGTGATCCACCAAAGAGTTTTTCCGTGCGGGAATCGAACCCGCGACACGTTTCACGGCAGCCAGTTGCCCGGCTACCGCACCAACCGTGCAGTCATCCTAATTTAATCTTTTCATAAATGCTTTCTTAGAAACCACTTTCAATAAAACTACGAACCCAAGATCTACCGAAGTCTATTTCTCGAAATAGGTTCTAAAGTTTTGGTATCAACGTCAAGTCGTATCGACTAAGTAACTTAGTAAGTATACCTAATATCATATCAAGTAAATAAGTTTCTCGCGGGATAGTCCCTACCAGTAGGTAAACTTCTAAAGAAATATATAACATTTATCTTGCTGACAATAAATAAAGACGTATCATAAGGGAACTTGGTCAACTCATACTTTCTAACTGACAAAAATATTTGGGATAGCCAATATCGCGATCAGACTATATAAATACGTGTTTAAGATTCTTTTACGATATGAATACGGAAGGCAATTGTGCAGGCAGATCACCTAATGATAATCAATTGGCGCCATAAACAATGACAAAAGAGTTACAAGTGCGTTGGACGGTTTTTGCGTGATTTTGGATTGGATTCCGGTAACCTCATTCAAGCACCGAAACACAAGCATAATAATTATATAATATACTAGCTACACTTGAGCGGTTTCACCCGTTGCTCGACTCTATTTGATTGTAGCTTGATGTTTGATAGCCTATAGCACTCAGGAACATTGTAGCTATCTATCTATCAGTGAAAGAATTTTGGTAATCCGATTAGCGGTTCCAAAGATTACCCCCTACATACAAACTTACAAATTTTACCTCTTTATAATAGAAGTATAGATAATGGAGATTGTATACATGATAAAAATGTGTTCAAAAACAATGTCCCGAAAACAATGTGTTCACGTATCTACTACTATTTCATCTTCATCTATAAAGCTTACTACTTCAGTTACTTCTGTGGATTAACAAAACACTGCAAAAATACTTTAGGCTTTCTCATACCTCAGGATCAAAAGAATCATTAGAGGAGAATACCTATACATAAATATTTAAACAGGTTAAATTGCTAGAACAGTTAAGACGGTAATTTCAGGTAATTTGTTTCCATCTTAAGACATTTAATTATATCGCCCGCTATCTTATCCTGTTTTTAGCCCACGCTTTATTTTCCTTTCGGTCAAGGTTAGTCTCCACGTGCCAACTTACGTTAAGATAAATTTTGTTTACGATCGGCTCTAGGATTATTTTACGTAAATACGTATTCTTTTTCTATGCGTAGTAACGAAAAGTATTTGATCATTTTAGGATAATTAATGAATGTGCTTAGTTTATTAGTATGAGCGTTAAATACGTAACAAGTTATGTATTTGGCTAATCCTACTAATATTATAAACGTGAAAGCGTGTAAGTATGAATGGATAGATTCCAACTATCCATCCATCATCCACAGAAAACCGACGTGAAAATACCACACTGTTTCCAGTGAGGTTGTTGTTTTTCCCCTTTCCAATCCCTAAATCTATAAACCAAACACTAATCCCCAAAAGGCAGCAACACACTCGAAACTCCTCTGGTGTTGTGTAGTGTGTATGGGTGACGCCGGGTATAGATACTGATGACATCTCCTGGTATTTTTTTAATTAGGAACTGTGAAAGCTCAGCGAAGAATTGAAACTATGTATTTCTATTCTACCTATTGTGTCACATTCTGTAAGACACGACGTCGAGTGTCTTTGAGCACGCAATGTCGAGCAAATACGACACTGCACTGAGAGCTCAGCACCAAATGAATGCTATTTTCACACGAATACTGAATAATATTATATTTACCTAACATATAAAATCTTGTTTTTACCAGTACTGCGGAGTTTAGATCAGATATTTTGCTTTTGCACTATTTACGAAGATACTTTATTCGATAATCGTTACTTCATTAATTAGAAGGTTGTGTTATAGGGAACATAATGGGTCATATTTCTTTAAAAAAGTAAAGTTAAAAGTAGTCTGACGTTTAATTTGGTAGGCACTCGGTATGTACACAAAAACAGCCAAATTGGTAGCGCTTCGGCTTAACGGAAATTTATTTAAAAGATAAGTTGTCGGTTTAATTTTCCTGTAAAATCGGATATCGGCAAAACTTACAGAGACGGTATCGGATACGGCATTATATAACACGTACAAATAGGCATACATTATACATATAATGATGTATAATATACACATAACCCAATTTTCCTTTTCCAAGAACAGTGCGGACGAATACATGTAACATAATAAAAAAATTATTATTAAAAAAACAAAATACCCGACTGCACACTAAAAAAAGAGTAAAACAAGCCCCACAATACAAATTTACTGAATATAATTTATAAATGTTGATGGAAAGCATCGCAGGCGGGGACCAACAGAGGCTTATTTATAGTCATTTCTGTTGTGCACCATTTAGCAGAATTTTCGTTGGTGGCGGTCAAGGTGGTCCCCGCCTGCGATGCTTTCCATCAACATTTATAAATTATATTCAGTAAATTTGTATTGTGGGGCTTGTTTTACTCTTTTTTTAGGGTTCCGTAGCCAAAATGGCAAAAACGGAACCCTTATAGTTTCGTCATGTCCGTCTGTCCGTCTGTCCGTCTGTCACAGCCGATTTACTCGAAAACTATAAGTACTACAGTGATGAAATTTGATGGGAATATGTGTTGTATGAACCGCTACAAAATTATGACACTAAATAGTAAAAAAAAAGAATTGGGGGTGGGGCCCCCCATACATGTAACTGAGGGATGAAAATTTTTTTTTCGATGTACATACCCGTGTGGGGTATCAATGGAAAGGTCTTTTAAAATGATATAAAGTTTTCTAAAAAACATTTTTCTTAAAGTGAACGGTTTTTGAGATATCAGCTCTCAAAGTCGTAAAAAGTATGTCCCCCCCCCCCTCTATTTTTATAACTACGGGGTATAAAATTCTAAAAAAAATAGAGGTGATGCATGCTAATTAACTCTTTCAACGATTTTTGGTTTGATCAAAGTATCTCTTATAGTTTTTGAGATAGGTTGATTTAACTGTAATTTTGGTTAAGTTATTGTGCTTACACTGAAAACGATGGCTGAACCTTATAAGATAGATCAAAAAATATACTACAGTATTGTACTGTATTGAAGGAGTCTCATTGGAGTATGATAATAAGAGATTATTTGCAATATACAGATCACCTAGGTGCTCCAATAATACCTTAAAAGAATTTATGAACAAATATATATTTAATGAACATTCTATGCCTACACTAATTTTTGGAGATTTTAACGAAGATTTCCTCAAACAAAACTACAT